CTCCAGAGTCGATCGTAGACCCGAGGGTAGCGAGTGGCCAGCTTGGCCATGTTGCAGACATAAGCCACCGGACCGCGCTCAACCAAGTCGTGCAGGCCAAAGCCCCCGGTGTTGGCCCGCGTGAAGATGCGAGCCTCCAGGAGCTGTTCCAGCGTAACGTCATGACCTTCAGCTCCGGCTGGTGCAGACAGGTTTACCTTGGCAAAAAAGGCTTTGACAAAGGTGTCCTTGCAAGCACGGTTCAAGAGCTCGGACAAGCCCGACGTGAGACTTGGGGGCAGCGTGTAGAGGTGGTTGATGAGGCTAGGCACGTACTGCATGGCCGTGAGGAGGGCCTGAAGCGAGACACCGGTCGTCAGCATGTCATTGAGCTTGCCAGCAATGTGCTTTGCCTTGTCGTTCAGCTGCTTCTTCATCCACTCGCGACGGCCAATCGGCGTTCCCAAGACCGTCATGCCCGTGTTGGCCGTCTCGCGCACGGCATCTGGCAAGACAGACTTGATAGCAGCGATGGAAGCGGGATGGTGGCGAGGCATGTAGAAGCGGCTCTTACTGGGCTGCAAATGAAGCCCAGCAGACTCTGCACGAGCCTTGACAATCTCCACGTCGGCCGCCACGTCCTCCGCGGGACCCATCAGTACAATGTCGTCGAGGTATTTGATGACCTTGCAGCGGTAGTCAGTGGTGGCGTCGAGGAGACCCAGGACCTCACAGGAGTACAGGGAAAAGAAGAAGGGCGATAGCTCGTTGCCCTGCACAATGCCTTGGCCAACATCAATGTCAATCACCTTGAAGAACTTGTCGACAATGCAGTGGGTAGTGGGTCGAGCATAGTGTCGTTCAAAGGCGCGCAAGAGGCCAGGGACCTTGTCGGCCACAATCTCGTGCAGCCGTGCTCGGTCGGTGTAGTTGAAGGCACTCTTGAAATCGAGGGAGAGCATGGTCCAGCCCGGGGTAGACTCACAGGCTTGAAGCTCACCAAAGGCCATGCCAACCGCAGCTGAAATGCCGTCCTTGACTCCGACAGCCAGCTCTGGACTGGCCTGTAGCAAGTGGGCAATATGGGGCTGCTGTTGCTCGAGCAGAGCGCGGTTGACAACCTTGTTGAAGATGGAATCCGTGCCCACGGGTCGAAACTTGCCATTGGCCTTCTCCAGGATAGTGTAGTTGATGGAGCAAAGGGCC